TACTATTTCCTCCGGATCCAGTTCACATATGATACAAACTGAAGCGTTTCATGAAACATACTTATCCTTCCTACATGATCCTATGATATACTCTTTTTATTAATTAATTAATTTTGTGTGTGTGTGTATGTGAGACAGAGTAGCCCAGGCTGGAGTGCAGTAGCGCGATCTCGCCTCACTGCAACCTCCGTCTCCTGGGTTCAAGCCATTCTCCTGCCTCAGCCACCCTAGTAGCTGGGATTACAGGCACGCTCCACCACACCCGGCTAATTTTTGTTTTTTTAGTAGACGGGATTTCACCATATTGGTCAGGCTGGCCTCAAACTCCTGACCTCAGGTGATCCACCCACCTCGACCTCCCAAAGTGCTGGGATTACAGGCGTGAGCCACCACGCCCAGCCCATTCTTATATTTTCTATTCTTAAATAGATTTCAGTACCTTCTCCAGTTTGACCCACATTTGAAAGCACTGCTTCAATACCTTTTCATTGCTTGTAGAATAAAACCCATTATTCTTAACGTGGCCTGAAAAGCCCTGCATAATCTAGCTCCTGCCTACCTTTTGGATCTCATATCCCACCCCTCTTGCCTTCCAAACACTGTGCTTTAGCTATATTAGCCTTCTGTAGCTCCTAAATAGGCCATTTATCTTCCCCCCAGGGCCTTCCCACTTGCTGTATCTTTTGCCTGGAGCACTTTTGTCTCTATTCCTCATCTGCCAACTCCCACTCCTTCAGGGGTCAGCTTAAATAGCGGCCCTTGCCTGACCCCTCAGGCTAAATCACTCCCCCTCCACACACTTACCCTTTATTCTCTTTCCTATCACCCTATTCTGTCCCTTTATAACCTTATCACAATTCGTAATTATGTGTGTTTATGTGTTGTAATTATGTGTTTATTTCACATCCTCTCCAGTACCAGCCAGTGAACTCTGAGGACAGTTTTTTCACCATTATCTTGTTCATGTCTGTCTTATTCACTGCTGCATAGCTAGTGCATCACATGGTGCCTGGCCCATAGTTTGTGTTCAAAAGATATTCGTTGAATGACCTGAGATCTGAAGAACAAATGAAGTGGAATTGGGGAGATGTGGAGAAAGTTTCACTCAGGGAGAACAGCATATGCAAAAACTTGGAGGCTTGAGAGACTAAGGAATAGTTTAAGAATTTCAGCATGGAAAGGCTGGCAGGGGCACAGATCATGAAGGGTCCAGCGTAACCTTTCCTGTTAAGGAAGGTGGGTTTCCTTTTGAGCCAGTAGAGACCCTCACTGAAGGGTCCTAAACATGGGAGTGATATAATTTAACATTTATTTAATTAATTTATATTTATTATTATTATTTTTTTTTGAGACACGTCTTGCTCTGTCACCCAGGCTGGAGTGCAGCGGCACCATCTTCGCTCACAACAACCACCGCCTCCCGGGTTCAAGCAATTCTCTGCCTCAGCCTCCTGAGTAGCTGGGATTACAGGCATCCGCCCCCACGCCTGGCTAATTTTTGTATTTTTAGTAGAGGTAGGGTTTCACCATCTTGGCCAGGCTGATCTCGAACTCCTGACCTAAAGTGATCCGCCCACCTCGGCCTCCCAAAGTGCTGGGATTACAGGCGTGAGCCACTGCACCTGGCCTTATTTATGTTTTCAAAAGATATGCACTGCCTATAGTGTAGAAAATAGAATCCAGAGAACAAGACTGAAATAGGGAGGCTGTGACAGTATTGCAAGTTAGAAATGGTTCTGGTCTAAATCAGGGTAGTGGCAGCAGAAATGTAGAGATTACATAAATAGATTTGGTAGGAGGTCAAAATGATGGGACTTGGTGACTGAATAGGGGATGGAGGAGAGAAAAGAATTAAGGGTGTAACCCAGGTTTCTGCTCTGACTGGTGTCATTCACTAAGGTAAGACACAAAGAAGGACAAACAGGTTGGAAGGAGGATGCCTTGAGTTGGGAAGAAGCTGAGGTTTTAGGTGTCTCTGGGATATTCAGGTAGAGCTGCCTAATAACCAGTTGAATGCATGGGTCAGGAGAAATATCTGGTTTTGAGGTATCAATTTGGGAGTCATCAGCAAAGATATGATCATTGAAGCCATGGGAGCAAATGAGATAAAGAAAAAGAGCGGCCTCTAATCCGAGGCTGCTGTTTGCTCAAGTGGATCACTTGAGGTCAGTAGTTGAAGACCTGCCTGGCCAACATGGCGAAACCCCGTCTCTACTAAAAATACAAAAGTTATTCGGGTGTGGTGGTGCGTGCCTGTAATGCCAGCTACTTGGGAGGCTGAGGCAGGAGGAATAGCTTGAACCCAAGAGGCGGAAGTTGCAGTAAGCCTAGATTGCACCACTGCACTCCAGCCTGGGCGACAGAGCAAGACTCTGTCTCAGAAAGAAAAAAAGAAAAAAAAAAAAGCATATATAGAGAGAGGATGAGAGAGCTCAGGCCAAAGCCCTAAAGAGCACCAGCATAAAGCGTTGGACAAAGAGAAGCCTGGAAAGTAAAAAAAGAATTACTAAGGAAGCAGAAGAAAAACAAGGAAAGTGCAGTGTCATGGAAGTGGTTTAAGGAGGAGGGAGTGGTCAACAGTGCCAAATGCTATCAAGAAACCAAGTAGGATAACCTCTGAAAAGATTCTATGGGGGCTGGGCGCGGTGGCTCACGCCTGTATTAGGGCGGGCGAATCACAAAGTTAGGAGTTCGAGACAAGCCTGGCCAATATGGTGAAACCTCGTCTCTACTAAAAATACAAAAAATTAGCTGGGCGTAGTGGCGGACGCCTGTAATCCCAGCGACTTGGGAGGCTGAGGCAGGAGAATCGCTTGAACCCAGGAGGCGGAGATTGTAGTGAGCCGAGATCGTGCCACTGCATTCCAGCCTGGGCGACAGAGTGAGGCTCTGTCTCAAAAAAAAAAAAAAAAAGAAAAAGAAAAAAAAAGATTCTATGGGATTTAGTGAGATTCTTCATGGCAGACCCTGATGAGAGAGAGCCGTTTCAAGCAAGTAGTGGAGGCAGATTGGAGTGGGTTGAAAGATAAGTGGGAGGTGGGAAAATGAAGACAGTTGGGTGTAGGCAACTCTTTTCAGAAGTTTGTGGAAGAGAAGAGAAGGAGGTGGTTGGAGAGGGAGAATTCTTGGTAATTGTTTATTTGTTTTTAGATGGAACAGGCATGAGTATGTTTAGATGCTGTTGGGAAGGAGCAAGGACAAATTCCTAGGCTTCGTAGCAAAAAGTCAAGAGCTTCCTCTACGGTGGCTTCTGTTTACTCTGCAGTAGGTCAGGTTATCTGCTGAGGGTTACAGAGCAGATGGAGAAGTTGGGGGTTTGAGGGGAAAGGAGGTCTGAAATGGCCACTGTGGAGAACGGGAGGGAGAGCTGACTAGTAGGGTTGTGGGTCAAAACTGAGGGCCTGGTAGAAGCTGGGAACCATGGGTTTATAGTGGCATAAATCTGTGAAGTTGAATAGTTTTCTCCAGCAATGTTTAGCTGCCTGGGCGCAGGCATGGAAAAGGCGGACAGTTGGACTGATTCAAGTTTGGGATGTTGCCAGACGGATGCGACAAATCAGGGAACTGAGGGTATTTAAGAAAGTGACTAAGTAAGGGACCATGATATCTGGTCTGAGCAGAGTGAAGGAGAATCAGAGACAGGTCCTCTGTGAGCTCAGCCCTAGGAACACTCGGGAACATGCGGAAAGGCTTTTGGAAAAGAGAGTGAAAGGCAAGCAGAGGGGAGAAGACCTGAGATGGGATGGAAGGGCAGATATGGGGGAAGGGGGGTTGAGCCCGGAGACTTGCCTGTGGGGAAAGCAGGCTGAGGGGGAATTTTTTAAGGGGCAGGAGGGCCTTGAGAGCGGTAGCAGCGAGAAGTGAGGCGGCCCCGAGCGAGGGGGCGTG